TTTTCATTAGATACTTGACGAAACAGTCTTCAAAATAAGGTTAGCAGATTTTACATTTTAGGTAAACACCTATCTAAAAAAATTGGATGCCATGCACTAATAGATTAAATACTTTAAGCATTCTAGCTTAATAAGAACTAATTAAACCAAAAAAAAGGTATATATTTTATTTGGTCATGCTAGCATGAGTCTATCACACCAAACATCACAGTCGAACATCAAGGTCAGAAAGTCATTAGGGTGGCATTCTGTGTCATAACATAGTTGATCAGTGTAGGTGATTGTTAAGTGACCAGCCCTTCTTGTGTCATGGCTAGGTGTCCAGTTGCAAGTTATTGTCAAAACACATTCTGCGTTCACATAAGTTGTAGAAATATCAGGGATGGTTCCATAGAGCTGTGATTTAGTTGGATGTTGTCTCCAAGAGATGTTGATTATAGCTCTCAGCATCTTACTGTAGATTCCATCAAGTTTAGACTCTAGGGTTTAAGATTGTAGAAATATCAGGGATGGTTCCATAGAGCTGTGATTTAGTTGGATGTTGTCTCCAAGAGATGTTGATTATAGCTCTCAGCATCTGACTGTAGATTCCATCAAGTTTAGACTCTTGGGTTTAAGAGTGTAGAAATAACAGGGATGGGACCATAGAGCTGTGATTTAGTTGGATGTTGTCTCCAAGAGATGTTGATTATAGCTCTCAGCATCTGACTGTAGATTCCATCAAGTTTAGACTCTAGGGTTTAAGATTGTAGAAATATCAGGGATGGTTCCATAGAGCTGTGATTTAGTTGGATGTTGTCTCCAAGAGATGTTAATTATAGCATCTGGGTGGAGGTTTCATTTGAATCAATGGTTTTAGTTAATGTCCAAGCAAGGCTCAATACAAACTGTCTCAGGTGAATCAATAAAATCTGTTTACATATTTAAGACACAAAATAAATCCTACTGAAACGGATGGGAAAATTTGCATAGCTAAAGCCTGGGCCACCTTGAATAAATAGATGTAATATTGGTTGGACATTAACTAAAGAATTTATTAATTATTAAATCCAAGGTTGTCCAAAACTTTTGGCCTATAGTGTATATTTATATATAAATAATATTAATGACTGAAAAAAGCTCAGTTTTCAATTTGTTACCTGTTCTTTTTTCTTTAAAAAATTGACACTCTAGTTGAACTGGCAATTTCTGAATAGTTCTATACTTGATGATTATGTTTTTAATGGACATTCATTTTAACTTTGAATTTTTTCATTCCCAGTTTATGAATCAACATTGGACAGCTGTCAAGTATATTATGTGTTACTTAACTGGTAGTTAAAACAATGAACTACTGTACAAGGTGAAATGTCAAACTCTGGTTATTTGTCCAAGATGAGCAGAGCTTTTGTCAACTGGAGGAATATGAAACAGGCCTGTGTCACACTGTCTTCACCAGAAGCAAAATATATGGCTTTAGCAAAGAATTCACAGTTCTACATACAAGTGAAAAATATTGATATAAATTTTCATTACATTCAAGTGCAAGTTGCAAGCAAAACTATCAAACTACAATACTGACAATGCAATAATATAGTCACAGAAATATTGGTGAAAGGACTTATCAGCACAATTCATGAAGATTAGAGAACTATTAGGTATTAAGAATACAATTGAACAGTCTGACAGTTAATGGGTGAGGCGTAGTGTTAAAAAATTAACAGTCTAGTCCAGGGATTGGCAACCTTTTGCTAACTATGTGCAGACCTAGGGTTTTAAAATCATTCAGTGTGCCAACAGCATACATATTTTTATACAAGTCAAAGTCAATATATCTGTTCTACAATATGTTTTATATAGTAATATATAGTATATATACTTTAGTATATATTAAAATTGGAACAGCTAAATATCTTCTTTGCATTGTAGTAGTTATTGGTTTGGACTTTGTGATGTCATTTGCAGCTGTGTGCCATTGGAAATTGCTTGAAATGTCATGTGTGACATGCATGCCGTAAAGTTGCCAACCCCTGCTCTAGTCAAACTAGCATTTTCTGAAGAAATGTTTACATTTTTAAAGGATATTCTTTTTAACTTTGTACTGAGGAGTTACATAAATTTCTTGTTCATTGAATTTGCTTTGTCTTTCAATGTGTTATGAACTAATTTTGATTTTAGATGTTTTTTGATAGAAATAAACAATTTTTATAGTTCTTGGGGTCCTCCAGAGGAAATTAGATTCAAGATGCTTTGAGACATGGGTAATGTTTAGTTCTACTTTCAATAAATTCTAGACATTCAAATTGATCTAGACTGGATTGATCACCTGTGTTTCTGCAATTGGATTGGTGAAATCATTTGACTTGTACATCATATCTGCCAAATAATACTCAAGCTAATCTCAATACAGTGCTTGCTAACAACATCTTTGAACATATTTCACCTATCCAACTTGAAAGCAATAGAAAAATACTTAGTATTGGGAATAGTATTTTATAACTTTTTTTAATCATTTAACCCGAAGCAAGGCAATAAAACTATTAAGATGCAAGTGGTTACTTAGTGTGAAAGAATTTGAAAAAACATTATTAAAAAGAAAAAAGAAAACAACAAGAATTGAGAAAACAGAAGATGACAATTGACATTGAATTTAAATATTTGAAGATCAAAGTTGAAAGCAAGAAGCCAGAAGAAAGTTAACACAAGTAAGAAATGCAAGAAAAGAAACTGCTAGCATAGAACTTATGGTTACATCTAGCTATTTCAACTGTAAAATGATGAGACCTTGCTGCCAATCTAGTACTGCACTTAAATTCATCAAATGAACAATTACTATGAAAATATTTATAAAAAAAGGCACAGAGAAGCTACATTATATTGGTGAGAAAGTGACTGAAGCCAAAATGCCAGATTAGGACTGATAACATTGCTGATTCTTCTTTGAATTTTATCAAGCATCTCTAAATATATATTAGAAGCACCAGATCAGATGTGACAGTGATATTCAATGCATGGATAAATGATAAACTTATAAAAGTCTGAGAGAGATTATGGTGAGAAAAATTGTCTAGCACCACACAATGAACCAACTTTTCTAGCAGCAGACCTAACAATTGATTCAATATGATCTTTCTAATTCATGTTAGCAGAAAATATTAGCCCTTTGAATATCTCACAACTATACTATTTCTTGCAAGTGAGGAGCAATAAAAGCCACTAGTATGAAAGGAGTTACTGGGAGAGAGTGAGAAAGAGTGAGGCAATAAGATAGCAGGATTCAAGGAGACAAGATGACAACTGACATTACATTTAAATTTTTGATGATCATAGTTGACAGGAAAGCAGGAAGCCAAAAAAGACATTTACAAGTGAGAAATACAGAAGAAACTATTGATAAAGAACTTATGATTATAACTAGAAGTTTCAACAGGGAAATTATGAGGTTTACCTGCCACTCTATCCAAGTACTGCACATAAATTTGTGAATTTGAGATATACATACATGCTTTGAAAAAAAAATCAACAAAGGAAATTCTGGTTTTTACCTGAGTTTGAACAGAGATTTTTGGCTTTTGTGGAAAATATGTAACTGCTTCAGCCATGAGACAGGCCAGTTGTTCACTGTATTTTGAAAGAAAACAGTGTCGCTGATTTGAGAAAAAAATTAACCCTTTTTATTTTTTTAAAATCACTGAACATTTTGTATTATTTCATAGATATAAAAACATACCAAAATTTTCTTCAAAATAAAAATAGGTAAAAAAAAAAAAAAAATCAGACGAAATCTTGCTATTCACATCTTTTCTTATAAATAATCTTATTTAAATCAAAAACTTTTTTTCTACCCAGACAGTAATTTTAATAATCATTTATTTCAGGATGTTGGACATATTTTATCTTCAGATTCCAGTACATTTTATAGTGATAATGTTTGTCTGTTTTTACTCCACAAAGAATGTCATAATTTATCATTGTTAGGTGTGGAGTTACAAAATTTTCTGAACAAAAATTACATTTCAGATAAAAATCTGTAAACTTTTGAAAGCAATAAAGATTTTAACAGACAATGAAAATATTGGTATGAGAAAAATATGAACCATTTGTCTTCTAACACTATTAATATTTATGAAGGCATTTCGACATTTTCAAATTGTAACAAATTTATCAGTTCACACACTGGTGTCTGACAGTTTCTAAACATAAATTTACATTTAAAAAAAATCAAAAGTATAAATTGGTAAGATGATCAGAAAAATGTAGTCTTGAAAGATTCAGTCTCAAGACTTCGTTATCAAGTATTCCTCTATTTTTAACAATATCTTTTGAAAATAATGATATTTTGAATAATTATATCTTTCTTTTTATATTCTAAGTAGGTAAAGCTACTTATAATGTAAAACCAAAGGTATTTAAAATATTAATTGTATTTAATCAAGCACTGTAACATCTGGAATTTCATTGATGCTATTCAAGAAGACCTTAAACAAAAAAAATGTGCATTTTGAAAGAGAGGACAATAAAAAATGGAAAATATGAAATGATTCACATATAAAAAAAAAACTTGTACATGAAAATGATAAATCCACCTTCTTGAAAGTCACTAAGTTTAGTTTAAAATTATCAGTTTAAATTTATAATAAAAGTTTTTAAGATTTAACTTTTTGAGACTGAATTTTCTTACTTTTAATAGAAATTGTTTTCCATTAATTTCTAGCCTTTTAATTTCAACATTTCTGTAATATTTTACCATTAATTCCTATCATTTTAACTAATTAATGCCCACAGATACATTTTTGGGGAAATAGGCATTAAAACATTATAGGCAGAAATATATAATACCAATTTTCTTTTTAAAATATATAATACTGCATTTTTAAAGCCCACCAGATTTTATTTTAATTTTTATTATTAATACTTGATTTTATGGTAGAAATTAATGGATTAATTACTTTCTTTTAAAAATAATATTTTGATAAATTTGGAGACAAAATTTTACATGATCAAATTTCTTGAAGCCAAATTTACCTTGCATCATCAGATAGATAAAAAAGATCAAGCAAAAAATGCTAAATAATCTGAAATAAAGATTTAACACAACAATATATTTTCAGATAAGTATAAAAATGGAGTGAAAATATATCTGCAACTTTAACAAGAATAAAGATATACTTCCTGAAAAAGAAAAAAATAAATTACCATATTTTTGAGTTGTTTTTAATCTCCAAGTAAATATGTTTTCTTTTCGTAATTGTTTAATTGTATCAAATACTGACAACAAGAAATGTTTAAGTCCAAACTGTTTGCTGTTTCTTGTTTTATATTTACCCAAAATAACTATATCCACATCCTATTGAAAAATGCTGTTATAAAATGTGTATGTCCATTACTTAACCAGAACTGAATATGCCTCATTTAAATACAGTTTCTTAAACAGTTTGGACATTTCCATTTCTGGTTGTTAGCCTTTGATATGATATCTATGTTACATGGTGTTATGAATTTTTAAAACGTTCAAGTAACTTGGGCAGAACACTCACTTTCAACATTGTGTTCCTTTTTATTTTCATCATTCTTTCTTTTTAAGTATTTTGTAAATTTCTCAAAATGTCCACTTTTGAATAGAGCATAGTTTGCAAAGCTCATGCCACCAAAACATATGAAAAGATAAGAGACAATGATAAGAATCCAAAAATGTGCTGGTTTGGGCACAAGTATTACAAGTAGAAATTTTACAAGATCCATGAGCATATTCAAAGAATTTTGAACACCAGTCACAACTCCTCGTTTAGTCTCATCCACATTTTCCAGAAGAAGTTGAGTCACTGTCAAGTCAGAGATCCATAAACCTGGAAAGAAAATTCTAATACTTTAAAATTTTAAATAAATTTACAAAAATAAATAAATAAAAGAATCTACAAGTTTTATAAATAAAATACAACTGCATTTTCAAGGATAACTACACTATAGATCAAAAGCTAAGGTCAAATTGGCAACTGATTTCATAAATAACCTTCAGTCTGTTGTTAACTGGGGCAAAGAATGGCTTGTTAATTTTAATGCCTCCAAAATAAAACTGCTCTCTATAAATCATCTGAGAGACTCCTTTCTGCCTTCCATCAGCACTCTTCTCTCAGATTTATAACAAAAGGCTATTACTTTCATTATCTTCAATGACAGAAGCCCAATCTTTCAATTAACATGATAGATTCAATAGATAAAGTTTTCTTTATTGTAATAAAAAGAAAGCTATTTATTGTGATCACTCTGAGGAGCAGGATCTTTTAGATAGCAGTAATTAGCTGATAACATTAAACAAAGGACAAAAATTGATTTACAATCATTATTACAAACAACTGTAAAATATAAAAAAATTATTCAGTACTTTACCAACTAGAAATTATGAATCCTGATCAAAAAGTATCAGGACTGTTGCTATGCTAATGTAACTAAAATATGCAGAGTGAAGCTGCCTGATACAGGTTCACCTTGAATACTGTCAAACATAAACACTAAATTATAAAGTTCTTGCTTGTTTCTGTTGTTTATAGCAGTGCTTGGAATAAAAGTGTGTAGAGTGTGGTCACCTCACTATGCCACAGAAGTTCCATCAGTGGCCATGACTTGTGCAGCAGTTTTTAGCCATGCACAACATTCCCCTGTTCTGACAACCACTATATTCCCCAGATATCATCCCTTACAACATTTTCCTCTTCAAAAATCAAATCCCACTTGAAAGGAACAAAATTTCAAGATGTTGAGGCAATCCAAGAGAATGTGACAAAGTAGCTGTTTGCTATCCCAAAAAAGAAGTTCCAGGAATGATTCCATCAATGGAAATGATTCTGGATAAAGTGTATAGCTTTAGACGTGGACTACGTTGAAGGAGATTAAATGCTAAATTGATGTGTTGTAGTTTTCTTTTTATAGCATAAATCCCAATACTTTTTGATCAGACCTTGTCTGATTTTTGAAAAATTCAGTTGAAATAAAAATGTTTTAGACTGTCTGATTTTAATAACAATAACCATATCTGTGATATTAAGAAACTAGTTAGTTTACCTGTACCATAAAAAATGGCTGTGATATTTAAGTCATTTTGCAATTGTATTGGCTACATTTTGTGTGTGTTGAATTTAAGATTTTATTCATTTAATTGACTCAGTTATTGCATGTAAGAAAAAATACTGTTTAATAAATTATTAAAAGTAACATTACTCAAAAGAAAGCTAAAATGGAACAGAACAAATAAAAAGCAATGCATAAGCAGCCTGATATTCAATACTTATTCATGAGACATACTGGTATTATGCTAACAAGGTACTTTTGCTTATTGACATCAAGTAATGCTTCCTACTACCATACCAACTAAGGAGAGATCAGATTACATGATTAATAAATATGTAGTTATATTGTTTTATGCTATAGAATTGATTATATTCTAAAACAGATGGCTTCCCAAGTATAATGAAATTGAACAATGTTTTTTATGTAATAAAATTTATAATTATTCACAAAAAACTAAGTGATGCAACTTCATAAAAAGTCAATGCTTAACAATATTCAATTCTACATTTGTTGTCAACAGTTTTCAGTAATGTTGTACTCTGCTGAAATTTAGATCTCTTTCTGATTCACTCTAGATATCAGCCAGATGTGAACGTTTAGAAAGCAAAACCAAAAATAAAATGTATTCCTCTGTGAAGGGGCTGTGAATATCACATAGAGCTTACAAAACATCCCTTAAAAAAAGTAATTCCCTTTCATATTTTCTTTTTAACAGAGGATGACTGCATAAAGGACAACTTTTTTAATTTTGATTCTGCTTTCTTCGTGTTCACATCTGGCTGACATTTAGAGTGAATCAGAGAGAGATCTAATAGAAAGCAGAGCATAACAATAAGGTAATATTAACAAAATAAGGTATATCTGAAGTGAAACAAAAATTCACTCTATTCGTGTTCTTAAATTTATAAGTATTTCAACAAAAAACACCAAAAATAATAATTAATAAATCTCACCAAACCGTGCTGTAATTATTCCCACCATTAAAAGACTGACAGAAATATATGAACTGGGTATTTTAATGGCATCAGTTGGTGTCTGTGTTAAGGAATCATTAACATTAGTTCTATTGAAGTTTATTGTTGTGTTGTTCTCTTCTTCTGATTGATTAAAAATATGGTTTTCAGGGGATGAAACCAATCCATACGGATTTCCTGGAGTGACTATTGATGAAAGACAAAACACCAGACACAAGATTTCTAAAGAAAAGCTTATTAGACCAGTCTTTGGTAAGCCAACATTTCTTTTCAACTTTGGATAAACAAATGTAGCCAGGATTCCAGTTATCGCACCAACAGCCATTAGGATTCCAAGAATAGATTGATTAACTCCTTGGGAATAGGCAAAACCTGAAATGAAAAAAATAATGTCATTAAGATCTTTAGGAAAATAATTAAGAAAATTATATTTTATTGAAAATTAAAAATGATATTTACATTAGGATCTCTAATTACTTGGTGAATTAAAATTTCATCTTAGCTAGAAACCAACTTGCATTTATCTATACATCCACTTAAACTGAATATGGTACATGACTGTGTTTAAAGTGGGAATCCCATATATACATGGGATTGGTAACAAACACTGCTCAGCATTTCTCTTATGGGATGCTTCATGTACCTGACTCTACACCTCTTTGTGAAATGGGAGAAGTGGTGCCTTAGGATATGGCTGCTACAATTTCAAATCTTAATTACAAATGATTAGGGTAGATTTAAAGAACTGTATAAGAGACAAGTAAAAACTTTAATATATTTCAAGAAACTTTAATATTGCAATAAAAAGTAAACATTGAAAAAAAAAAAAAACAGTAGAACAAAAAGTAAGGCCTAAAAAAGAAAAAAGATATGATTACTATAAAGTAGGTAAAGTGAAATAAGAAAATGGCATAAAAATCTGTTTCTCACTCTAATTGAGGGGGAGTAACACAGATTAAAATATATACAGTAAAAAAATTAAAAAAAAGGAAGATTACATTAAGACTCAATAGTCATCACTTCTACTTACAAAGAGAGGGCTACAAGTACTTAATATATACTGCTTCCAGCACTCTTAAATTTTGGATGTGTCTTACTAAGAACAGAAAACATATATTTGGTATAAGACATAGGACTCTTTAAAACACACTAAAGAACTCTTCTATTTTGTTAGTGTCCTGTCAAAGGACAACCATAATACATAAACAAAAAGGATAATATTTATTAGAAAATAAATAATAGTAACCAAAACAATTTGGAATAATACAGTTGAATGAAAGGAATGTGAATGAAATGAAAGATAAATATTGAAAGAATGAAATAATACAGTTTAATGAAAGGATTTCCTTTTTAATCCAGTTGAATTTTTCATAAATAACTGCCATGTGAAGAATGAACTCTACACAAAATAACAATTAATAATGTTATAAAATAAAATACAACATATCTTGGCTGATTTACAGGCAAATACTCAAGAGCGAGAACCGGATGTAAACGGGACAAAGCCCCGTCACAAAATGACCATTATCTTTCTTCACAAATGTTCCTGACACACGTGTTCCGGTCGAAAAATAAAATAATATTTAAAGTGCTCTATTTTTCGTCCAATAAAAATGCTTCCCTCCTAATTATACTCGCTTCATTTTTCGAGCCTGTTAAGCCACAAGAAAACACTATAAAAGGGGTCACACGGAAGTTCAACGGCAGTCCACAGGTGGCCGCAAAACAGACCTGTCACGGTCAGGCCAAGCGATCAGCAGCAGGAGAGCATCAACCACCGTCAACATGTGTGAACTACTATGAGAGATCGACCTAGATCCGAAAGCTGGCTTATGAACTTTACCACAAGGTAGCTGTTCCAAACCCACACATTCCTGTTGAAATAAACCACGTAAATCTATTTCTACTGTTGTCGTATTTCTTTCTTGCAACAATACGCTTGTCTATAACAATAATATATAAATTCTTACTTTGTCATGTTCTGATGTTCAATGGACATGACTTAATTGGTAAAAATTGATACCAACCTTGATTTCATCCAATAAAGAATTTCAGTCTCTATAGACATTTACAATCAGACAATATATTTTCTATAAAACTGATTGAATATTAATGAAATAAGGAATGGGTATTTTTCATTTATTACTTCAAAAGTTAAAACTTTAAAATATTTAATAAAATCATAAATGTTTGGAATGGTTATATTTAAGCTTTGCCTAACTTTATAGAATTTAGAAGCTTGTGAAAAGTGTTATTTCAACATATAATTAATAAAATAAAAATGCCAGCATTATAACATGATTTAAAAGGTTAAAAAAAAAGCCAGAAAGATATATCTGCTCTTGAACTGACATCTCAGCTTCAACCACTTTTCGAAAAATATTTTCATTGCAATTGCTCTGAGCTTTCCTCCCTGATACCATGACATCACAAATTTAAGTGCACTACTAGATTGGCAACTAGGTCTCATCATTTTATTATTGAAATTGTTAGATGTGACCATAAATTCTATGCTTGAAGCTTTTCTTGCATTTCTTGCTTGTGGAATTCTCTTCAAGCTTCTTGCTTTCCTGTCAATTATGACAATCAAAAATTTAAATACAACATCAATCATCATCTTGTGTCTCTTTGAAATCTCTTCTTTTATTGCTCTTTCTCCTCATTAGCATTTTCTAATTGCCTCTTAATAACTTTATTGCCTTGCTTGGGGTAAAATGATTAAAAATATTCAAAGACACACATATTTGTTGCTCATTCCAACAATACATAACTATGAAAAGATTTGATTGAAATATTTATGTAAATGCTAGGGGTCAGTATTTGAATTTAGACTAAAACAAAACAGGATTTTAAATGCTAATTTTATTAGCAGATATCTATCTTTCCCTTAGAAGTTTAGCATAACATATTTGCATTATTTACAATCAGATAAATGCCCTCATGTTTGTTACTGTTATCACAATATTTCAGCCATTATGCCCTCTGTCCTTCTTCAAGTGTCTGTCAATATAGATAACCTTTTGAACTGATGGGGGTAGATTGTATTTGTTCCACTGTCCATATCTAGTGATATCTCATCTTGTTCTCTTTTTAGTTGTTACTAGCTCTGTTTCCAGTGAGTTTGCTCTACACTGCCCAGAAATTGAACTTGCATAATATTATTTCAAATTCATGAACTCCCCTAGTCTAGTGTCCCAAAAGAAATCAGTGTAACATAATTTTCTTACCCACCCACTACGATTTCTACTATTTAGCCTTGTACTGCCTTTAGCTAAGCTGGGTAATTATGAAAAGGTGTTGCAGCTGGCATATTGGCCTGCAAATAGATATTGAATGACAGAAGACAACAAAAAACAAAATGAAGACTTGAGTAAAAATAAATATTGCCAAGTTATTTTTTTAAGAAAAATATATAAACAAAAATAATGTTAATGCTAATTAGGCAAGCTCATGTAGAGGGTGAGGAATAGTGTTATCCTGAGGACAGTTTTGTGGTCACTAGAGAGTGAATGTCCTGAGAAGGACAATTTTGTGGTCACTAGAGAGCATTGTGCTGAAAAGGACAGTTTTCATAGTCACTAGAGAGTGTTGTCCTGAAAAGGACAGTTCATTGCATGTCATTGGCAAGGATTGAAGGAGCTGGAGTGGCAAGAGCTGAAGATGGCTGGAGTGATGGCTGATGGCAGCTGGAGATCATGATGGCTATCTAGCTGGATCTGCTGCTGACAGTTGGGAGCTGTGGGCAGGCTGTCAGTTGCTGTTGGAAAAGATACTACACTTTAATCCTAGTCATCTGGAATGTGGAACACCTGGGTATATATCTCTGGATGTGACACAAGTTATTTAATGTGGGCAACCCAATTGTGTACAGTCAGGTCATTGGTCAAAATATTGGTCAATTTTTACCCAGCCTTGCTTGTGTGGGATTGAGCACAAAGCTTGTCTTAGCTGGTCATGGCAGATACTACAATATGATCATAGCCTCTGATCATGAAACACCTGGCTATTTACCCACAGCCCCCTCCCCACACACACACACTGAAGCGGGATGCAACACAAGGACAATTATTTAATGTGGGGAACATGAACACATATACTTGGGACATTGGTCATAATATTGGTCAATTTTTCTGAAACCCCATTTGCATGAAATTGGCCACAAAGTTTGTCTTAGCTGATCATAACAGTGGAATGGATACTGCAATATGGTCATAGCCTCTGACTGTGAAACACCTGGGTGTTTACCCATGCCCACCTCCCACTGGGGTGGGATATGACACAAGGTCAGTTATTTAATGTGGGGAACCTGAGTGTGTACACTCAGTCAACATTTACCCAGTCCTCGTTTGCATAGGATCAGGCATGAAGCTCGTCTTAGCTGGTCATGGAAGTGGAACAGATACTACAATATGATCATAGCCTCTGACTATGAAACACCTGGCTACTTACCCACAGCCCCCCCACACACACACACACACTGGAATGGGATGTGACACAAAGTCAATTATTTAACGTGGGGAATCCAAGTGCATACACATGGGTCACTGGTCAAAATATTGGTTGGTTTTTTACCCAGCACTGTGGGAATGCTGACAGGATATGACAAAGGCCTTAGTCTTTGCTACTATTGCCACTTTCAGATCCTTCTTTTCAATAAGCAGAAGTAATACAGCAATGAAAATGTTCTGTCAACAGATTGAAACTCGTTACATAAAGACAATATATGTTGCATGCAGTGCAGTTTATTCCCCAGACTGCTTTGGCAATCATTGATTTACAAGAACCAAAGATAAGCAATTAATCACCCTATACATAAGGGGAAATTGCTAAGACATACATCTCTTTTAACAGGTCTGACATTATACAAAATGCAAAATCAATACTACCAACACACTTCTTGTACACAAATTGCAAACTTTAAAAGTATTTGAGTTTTTTTAGGGGATTTACCAAAATTACTTCTTACCAACAGCCATTGTGTCAAGATGAAAAGTTTAAATAAAACTGTATAAAATACAGAATCACATTTTAAAATGAAATATAAATGGGCACTGAAAAGGGAAAATCTGATGTTTGTTTATTTGATGAAAGTTTGGAAAGTGAGTGAGGCTGAGAAATTTTCAGCATCTACTCATAAGTGAATGGCCAGAATGGCTAGAATTGGCTTTGAAACACCAAAATAGTAATCCAAGCAGACTGCTTAAGGTAGAAGAACCAAAGTAATAAACAATATCTGAAAATAAGAAGCAGTAATTTGTTTTGCAAAAGTAATTGGAAACACAAAATAAAGAATTTTAAATAAATAAGGAAACACTGAGTAAGAGATATGGAATGAGTTCAGGCAGATAGGAACAAAAGAAGTTTCCAGATAAAAGCATTGTATAACTTACTCCTTACACCTATGAAACCTCAAACTTTAGAGATACTTGACTTATACACATGAAAAAAGTAAGAAATTTAAAACATCATCATTGTGAATTTTATTGTCAATGGCAATACAATCAAAATTTCCTTGATGCTAATAAAGAATTATTCTATAACTATTAATAGAAATCTAATCAAACCAATATTTTATGTACATTTCTTTGTTGTTATTATCACAATGTATAAGCCATTGTGATCTGTTGTTCAGGTGTCTGTTGATCCACTTAACTTCAAGGGAATTTTGAACTGAACTCTTTATTTAATCTAAGGGAATAGAGCATTTATGTTCCATAGTCCATGTCTAGGGATATCTTGTCTTGTTCTTTTTCAGTAGATGTTTCAGTTATGTCTATTCTTGTTTCCACTGAGTCTGTATTTATGACTTCAATGACCAAGATCAGGTAGGACAGACTCAGACTGTGAGTAAATATAACAAAGTATCATAGTATCCAGAGATATGGCTGAGATGTCTCGAGCTAGTTGTAATAATGACTCAACTCTAAAAACATGCCCAGTCTGCTACTATTATATTTCTATTATATGTACCTATGTGTTTAATTTTAAAATCAATTCTCTTTTTATGAAGCTCCTAAGGTAGAACACTTGGACATTGTTTATATACAAGTTTGATATAAGTAAAAACTGTTCAAAAGATCTTTGGCTATAAAATAAAAATTAAAAAAAGAAGCTGAGATACTTACCAGTTGTAATGTTGTCAAAACCAAGGACTGTCATATAAAGTAAAGCTAGTCCTAATCCAGCCCAGGAAACATCATAACTTATGTAAGTCTTCCATCCATTTATTAATTTAAAAACCATAGAAAATAATAAGTCAAAAAATCGATGTTTACAGCATTTACAACATAGTTTGTTGTTGTTTTCCAAGTATTCCTTTGAAATTTCATGAGTGGCATTTACATTGTTATTAGATCTTTGATCTGCTTCTTGTCCAGGAAGACAATCTATCTGTGTCTCTGTTGTTTCAATATCTCTAACATTGTCATCTTCAGGATCTAAAATAAAAAAACATATATTGCAATTTTATATTACATAATGGGGTATGATTTTAATTTTTATTTCTTTGTTTTAACCATTTGAAATCATTTTGAGAAAGACAAAAGAGAAACAGGATAAAGTAAGCAGGAATAGAAGAAAAAGGACCAAAAAGAAAGACATTCAGAAATGAAATAATGATTTAATAACACTTATCTATCAATTCAAATGCATTGATATATATTTTTTCTGTTCATTTTTAATCCACGTTCTCCTAGCATCAGTTTAAACTGACACCTGTTTTACCATATATTGTGATTATTTTAATATTTTTCATTCATTTTCATACTTTCTTGATTTCAGATGAAAACCTTTTCTAATATATTTCAGTGAAATTTTTCCTTTCTAAAGTTATATTTCATAATTACAGGTTAAATATATATAAAAAATGCTGTCAGTTTAAACTGATACCAGGATTATAGGGATTAAGCCTATATTAAGATTTTCTCTATTTATGTGCAATTCATCTTATGAAAATCACAGCTTGTTCAAATTGATCCCTGCTTATGTTTGCTCCAATTCCTTCTGAGTCTATTTTATGGCAGATAGAAGTTCATAATAGAAAATGAAGAGCAGAAAGAATACAAGTGTTTCAAACAAATGATATCATTAAAGAAGAACCATGAAAATAAAATAAAATGACATAATAATTGACTGGAAAGCATTTAATAATCAAAAAGAGAAATAATGAAAAGTACTTTGCTAATATGCTTAAAATGTAAAGGCATAATGAATTTATAATGCCAGTTATGGGTTTGAAACAAAAGTAGGGATAAGCAGGACATATAGCAAGAAGAAAGGATGATAGAGCAAAAGATTGGTTTATTAATGTCCACTGGATAGTAGATGCAAAAGGAAAAGACCATAGAGAAAATGGAGAAATGAGATGGAGGGGGATTTGCTGGTAAATCATATCAAAGAAAAGCACAGTAACAGTCATCATAGAAGAAATTGGGAAAGGCTTTTGTCCAGCTATATATTTACAATCCCTATTGTTGACATACAGTTATGATGGATGTCTATAGTATGTCACTTGATAGAGAGTGGATGGTGTTCTGATGTTCAAGAAGTTTAACTCCAGAACTCATTGGAGAAATGGAAAATGAATCAGCAAAAGTAAGAAGAAACCAGCAGTCAAAAGAGTGAAACTATAACAGAGGCAACCTAACAGAAGTGAAAAGGCCCATGAATGGGAATGGGAGATCTCATATGGTTAGGGAGAGAGAAATGACCAATAATTGAAAATTTGAATAGAGAAATGAATGTCAGTGGGCAGACTGTAGAGTTGGTGGCTGTATGTTCTTGGGAACTCAGTGAGCAGCAAGACATAATGAAATCCACTTATGTGGTGGTGGTGGTGGGGGATATAGCTGGGAAGGTAAAGCCCTTTTGAATGAACGTTTTGCAAAAAAAGAACATTAGCATAAGAACTGAAAAGCCTTGAGAGAAAAGGTTATGCTAAGAAAAGTAAAAGAATTAAAGAAACTGAATTTATATTCACTCTAAATAAGTAATAGACATTAAAAGCTGTAGTGTAAAAGCCTAGCACTGATGTGAATACTATTTGTCATGTTTGTTTTCTGTTCACTTAATTGAAAGGAGTAAGTCTTTACCACCTGTCTATTTCATTCTATTTTAGTGTTTTGAACTTTGTTTTCCTATTTCACCCTTTACCTAAACCAAAGGAAAACATCATATGCTGTTCAATTTATTGTTTGTTGAGTGTACTGTGTGACTGTGTGATCTGATGATATAATATATATCAAACATAGTCTTAAGACGGCTTGAAGTGTGAAACTGACAGTCATATCATGCAATGTTGATTTCTATGACCAAACTACAAATGCTTTATCTCTGATATTAAGCACTGTTTCTCCATAAATACATCAACATTTAAACAATTATATATATATATTTTTCAACTAATAAAATCCTATCAGAAGGTTTGTTTGATAAACAATCATTACAGGGACAAATACTACCAAAATACTTGATGAATATAGTTGTAGACCTACTGCATGTTATTTTGGACCATTTAGAAAATGACAATAACTCCCTTCAGCATTCCCGCAAATTCAAGAAAAAATTTTCATGAACCAGTGTGAAATTATTTTCTAACTAATTAAAATTATTCAAAAAGTTCACACCTCTATGTGAAATTAGATTTTGGATCTCTCTTATGGATATAAAAATAGAAGCATACCGATTCTCAGGGTTCAAAACAATTTTGAAGGCCAATTTGATCTATGCATACACACACAATGGAAGAGATGACAACCAGCAGCCACCAACTAAGGCCTTGTCTACACACTCACAGACACATTAGCTGTCTGTCCACACATCTCATACTGCACTACAGAGACCTAATTACTTTAAAAAAAAAATGCAAGGAAAATTGAACATTTTGTTTTGTAAAAATATTAAATGTATAAAAAATAAAAAATTTATAAAAAATATAAAATTTAAAGAAATAAAAAAAATATACAATATAAAAAATAAAAAAAATAACATAAGCTTTTGCTATTATTATTTATTAATTTAAACTATGATTAATATAAATTTAAAGAGGGAGATGTTAAAGAAATCTTTCTTTTAGTATGAGGTGGTAGTGAAAAGAACTTACACTAAACATGAAAAAAATTTAGTCAGATTTTAAAAAGTGGAACAGATTGAGAACTTTTCAGCAATTTCTCGGATTTTAGCCTTAAATAAAAAAAATAAACATTCCCTAAATGGATAGTCTACCTGAAATTGAATATAGCTTGGATTTTGGATTTGTAAACTTGACAAATGGGATGAAAACATACAAATTGTATTTGTATTTCATAGCATATTTTAGCAAACAAGGTCCTTCATACTGAAAACAAAAAAATGGAGTGTCAAAAGTGACACTGCTTTTATTTTAACTACAGTGTAACCCGGATATAAGAGGCCCGGATATAAGAGAAACACGGATATAAGAGAAACCCGGATATAAGAGAGATTTTATCTGGTCCCAAATTAGAGCCTGTGTTACCTAAACAAAATAGACCAAACCTGGATATAAGAGAAACCCGGATATAAGAGACTTTTTCTCCGGTCTCGACAACTCTCTTATATCCGGGTTACACTGTACTTCCAAACAATGACAATGTTTATTGTTTTAAAAAGCAATGATTAGAATTGTAATAAAACCTAAACATATGATGAAAGTGAATTTATATATTTTCTTTGTTCTTGAGAAATGACAACAAAAATAATAAACACTATTTAAGACTGTTTATTTACACTATTTATTATATTATTTATTTGAATGGTTGGCAAAACTGACTGATTGCCAATTGATTTAAACTTTATAAAATGGTAAATAATAAGGATTTCCTTATAGTTGGTTCACAGATTTTAATAATTTAGTTAATGTTTATAAATTTACAAGTAAAAAATTTCATATTTATTTCTTTATAAATTGGTAAATGATAAATACTGTATTGTATTAGTTTTAATTCTATTAGTTTTGAGAATGTTGTAAATATAAAATTATTCTTGTAAATAAACTATCTAATAAATAGTGTTTAATATTTTTGTAAATTCTCAAGAACAAAAACAATGTATAAATTTACTTTCATCATATGTTTATGTCTTATTATAATTCTAGCCATGCTGAATGTGAGGTACTTAAAATAAAACCAGTGTCATGGAAAAACCCATTCTTCTGACACTCTGTTTTTTGTAGGCATGAAGGTCCATGTTTATCCATATTTCTTCCAAATTAAATGTGGTAAGTCAACACTTAATGTTGAATGTATTTTTTTTTAAACAGAGAAATATAAAGTATTTATTATAGAATGGATTTTTAATAAATTATTAATACATTTAACAAATTTTATTGTAGAAAAATAATTTGAATAGTAATATTGGTAACTGATATCAAAGTGCATCAATAATTATAGAATAAAGAAGTGGAAACATCTTGAAAATTACTAACAAAAAAGAAACAGGTGGTGTAAATCCTCTCTCATTAATAGAGGATTATTTTAATACTAAATATTCACCCAATACAAAGCTCAAGGGCCACTCAAGGTAGAGGGTTACTGAATGAGATTTCTGTATGGAAGTCAGAGGAGGAAGCAAGTGCATGTTATGAGGATATGTAGGATAGAAAACACTGCCTTTTTCTTTTTTGATAGTAATTTTCAATATCTCTGCTTCTTCACACTATAAATAAGTTTTGTACCACTAAGAAATTGTATTAATAATTCTCTCAGTTGATCCACAGATCTTAGCTGAATTCTGATCTGAAATTATCACAATATAATGTTTAATTTTTATGATTAATATTCATCACTGAATAAACTGCATTGACAAATAAATGCTTGTTGCATAAAATAAATACATTTTTTGTCATTAGTCTATGTTATACCTTTGTTAACATTTAAAAAATATTGTTTTTGTTTTATATTGCTGAGACACTTCAATTCATTGTTTCAGCCAGCTACAAAAATTGTGATTTTAGAGTATCTTTTGCTTATAACTGGTGAATTAACACAGTCAGAACATGGATAAAAAAGTAGAAAGCCATACCTGAATTGAGTTTAGCATCTTTTTTCTTCTTGGACAGACTGGGAACTGCTTGGTAGACTTTGTACAGCAGAAAATATTCAATGAAAACTGACAAAAAATTCCAAACAGCAATGAACAAGGAACCAGCTACAACCGAAACATATGTCATTATTTGGCCAACAATCACTGGAGATAGTAACTTGGTAGCAAGGTCAATACGACGCAAAACAGCAGTCATGGCTGTAAAAGAAGCAAACGGGATTTGTCAGAGCAGGCAATAGAAATTATTATTTATTACAATTCATCCTACTTTTCTTTTATTTTTTTGCAGCCCTAATTCTCTTATAACAACATTAATAATCTACCTATATGTTTTGCTTAACCTCATTGATTTTTCTTGTTTTTTTTTCTCCCAAAATATATCATTTTTCTACTATAAGTACAAAGCAAATTTTGTTCATGAATGTCTTTATGACTTTTTTTTGGAATAAACATTATCAAAACAAAAACTACTGTAGAAACTTTCTTCAGTTAAATTCTCAGTTGTATAATGATAAACATTTCAGCACTTATATTGGAGAATAGGCTTAATTACTTGTTAGGATAGTCCAATCAGTTATTATAGAGTTAGGCTAGGTACAATTATTGATAAAGAATTTGGGAAAGACTTTGTTTAGCAATGGACTTGCAATGACTGCTGTTGATATATAGTTTATGCCAGCCAGATACCTAATTTTACATAGGAGATATTTTGGGACCATTTTTAAAGAAAAATGATTGGATCTTACATGCCATCAAGGTCCACAAAACCATTATCAAATGACGGCAGATGGTGAGATAAAGCTGATCCATAACAAAGGCTACTGTTTATACAGATTTTTCTTTAATCTATATCCTCCTGGCATCAGTTTAAATTGGTATCTTCTTTTTATATATTGTAACCATTTTGCTTAATGTTTGGATTATTTTTTTATTTCAAAGGAAAACTTGGAAATTTCCATATTTCAGTAAAATTTTCACTTTCAAAAGTATAGTTTATAATTATAGTCTAGATAAATGAAAAAAAAAGGTGTCAATTTAAATAAAGGCCAGGAAGATATGAGTTAAGCAGAATCAATGTTTGTCATTTCTTCTCCTCTTTCCCAGTTATGCATTAAATAGCAGAGTAGACTGGGTTTTCTAGCCTTGAATATCAGCCAGTCTAAGAGAAGGATTAATTTAAATTTAAAACTGTCTAAAAGACAATGGGAAAACACTACACTTTCTCTCTCAAGATATCATAGAAATTTACTGATAATAAAGAAAAGGAACCTATGGAGAGCTATCATTGTCTATGTCCTGAAGAAACATGGCATTTAAAAGAAGAAAAAAGTTTCTGTTTATCTTACATCTCTATTTGGCAGAGACTGTCCCAATTTGAGGCAGACATCTGTAGCAATTATATAATCTATCAGCATTTGTTCTTTTTTGTATTAGTCCTGAAGCTTAAAGGGTTTTCAGTAATGAAAACACTTTATTATAAGTTCTAAGTGATTGGTGGTTGGTTGATTGATTTTGTTTAGCAGCATATTTAATGCCAAAATCTAAATATTTTGAACACAATTGTATGCTTACAGATAAAATGTATTGTTGGTCATTTTCTATAAAATGTATTGTTAGTAATTTTACTATAAAATGTATTGCTGGTCATTTTTTTGTTTGGGGAGTTCCCTATTTGTCCATACAAGGGACACTAACAGGTGCTACCACCCTGGGTTAGCGTGGACCTGAGAACAACTGCAATTAAAAGGTGGTTCCATACTCCTCAAAAGCTCCAATCTCCTGATTAGAGGCCTTGCTGCCAGATGTAGTTTATCATCATATCCAGGACTTCAGACAGACAAAAATCAAGTATTATAATAGATGCATTGAATAAAAAAAAATTATCAGAATTCAAATTTTTCTAACCCATTTTTCTATAACAGAAGAATTATGAGTATTTATGTCTGATAATAGAAATAAATTAATAAGATTTTATTAACTTAATTATATTATGATATTGTTTTCAAGAATTTTAAAGTGACTTAGAATAAATGTAAACAAAATGTATTCAGTAATCTGTGCATGGAATTTGTTTTAAATTTTAAAAGGGAAACATCAATCCATTGGATAGTCTCCCAATTTTATTCTTTTTTATCCAACATCTGAACATCAATGAATTTTAAACTAGTCAAATCTCCTACATGCAGCTTTAGTCTAATTACCAATAGGCTACTGTATTCAACTACAACTGAATAAAAGGGTTGTGTTTAGCCAAATGCTACAAATTGGGAGCAAAGGGAACAGTCTACAAAGGGCAAAGTGTAGTATCTCTTTAAAGTATAAACAAAGCCTGGTCCCAGAGATTCCAATCCCATGACAGCACCTTCCTCATTGTACTAAAGAGGGTTGGTGGATACCAATGCCTACATGACAGTGGTCATGGTGGTTGGGCAATTTTTGTTCTTGGCTCATATGTACATGTATGATAATGGTAATATTAACCATTTCTTCATGAGGAAACATTTGGCATTCATTGACCAACCTGCCAGTACTGCTGTCAGTTGAAATTTATAAAATTTTTCTCTTAAAACAATTTTTCAGGAAAATAGGTTTCTCAATTTCACTGGCTGTTATCACACTTTTCAGTATTGATGAGGGCTTCCTTCTTAACCTTTTATTTGAAGTAGAACATTAACATCTTGATTATGTCATTATTTTCTCTTTGAGTTACATATGATATCCAATTTAGTTGTTGCTGCTGTTGAATGTTCTCAAGTGATGTGGTTTCTGTTATTTGGTACAGTTCTTTGTGATTCTCTTACAAGGCTATTTAAGAATATGACTTGAGTTTTCAGGTTAATGTTTTGGTTTTGTAACACGTCCTATTCTATGTCCATTTTTCTTATCTTTTATATTAAATTTGATCCATACACCAAAGTATTTGAAGTGTTTAATTGAACATACTGCATTTGTTATGTATGATTCAAAGTACACACCATCACTGCTTTCATTCCAATTCCAGATCATTGTTTCTGTTTGGAAATATTTATTTTGAGTCCTATTTCTAGGAAGACTTGGTATGTTGATATTTTATTCAAGATCCTTCTTATCCCAACTGTGAATACCACCACCACTACTGCTGTAGAGATGATGACACTGATACTATTTTGGATAATTTGTGTATTAATTGTTACAAAATGAGAAAAATAAAGATTTTACATTGACTATATCACAACATTGTATTTTCCTATTTTCAGTCAGACTAATATCCTCATCTTTGTTTTTATTTTTTTATTCTGTTTTAAAAACAAAGATGAGGAGCTTGACTGAAAATAATAAAAATAATAACTGATCATCCCAGAAATTTAAATAAAAATGACATTTTACCCTGAAAAAATGATGCTGAAGGGACAGTGTCAAAGTAAAATGGTTAAAAGAAGAAAATTAATTATATTCATGAATGCTGCCCATATTTTATCAATAATTCAATGCAAAACTAACAAAGTCAAAGACAGCTTTATCTTCTGATAGTTTTACTGTGTATTAAAATAAGATCTAAACACATTGACAGATGAATGCATGAAAGTATCTACATAAATAATGTGCAAACAATGATATTGCATAAAACCTCAAATAATGAGCAACATTATTGCTTTAAACTTGATGACATCTATATATTTTGTATTTAGGTGTGACACTCACTTGTAAGTTTGTCTGTGTCCCGGGCACATATTACAACCACCCAGTCATTGCGTACAGAAATACTTCCAGCCAAACTTGCTAATTTTGAGACAATGGCCAATCCTATGATAAAGACTTTGGCAATGACAGCCCCGGTTCCTTCCAAGTAGTTTGTCAATTCTGTGTTCCAGCTGAGGTAGACAGAAACCAAACATGCACACACAAGGACACTGATGTTTTGTACAAATAAAGATACTCGGGCCACTGAAAGTAGAGTTAAGAAAGTTTATTACTTTCAATGGAATAATAAAAGGTGTTTTATATAAGCAAAGAAAGAAAGAAATAATTCAGAATTGTAATTATCTTGCTTAATAATAATGAAATGACATTTTATTTGTTTAACCTTGCCTAACTTTTTAATGAAATAATCAAATTAACAACTGAATATAAAATAATATTGATACATCCAATAATAATAATAATAATAATGATAAATAAAATGATCCTGAAAAATTGCAGGGAAAAAAGTAGGAATCTCACCACAGCTTGGATAGATTGCTGTAAAGCCTTTGATTTGGATCCTTAAATCTTTGAAAATGTACAAAGTCTGCTTGGTGATAGCGAATTTCCTTAAATATTGCCTGGGACTAAGGAAAAGCACATTATACCTAAATCACACAAAAGGTACTGCCACTTCCAATCATCAGAATATCCAATGAGGTATCTTTCAAGGAGACTCCCTGTTACCTCTTCTGTTTTGTCTGTCCTTAATCCCCCTTTTGCATGAACTAAGCAATAATAACTATGGATACAAAGTAAACAAGAAATATTTAATTGCCTATTTTACATGGATGATCTCAAACTCTTTGCCAAAGATGACAATGAATTGAAGGGTTTCCTCAATACTATAAAATGTTTCAGTGATGACATCAGTATGGATTTTGGATTAGATAAATGTGCAGAAATAATATTCATGAAAGGGAGAATTACAGCAACACCCTTAACAGATCTAGATTTTGTCACAAAAATTAGGGAACTGGAACAAGAAGAAGCCTATAGATACCTAGGAGTGAGTGAGTGAAAGAAATGGGATAGAACATACCCAAATAAAAGAAAATGTAAGAAAAGAATACTACAAGTGTGTGCATCTGGTGTTAAATACTGAGTTGAATTTATAAAACAGAATATCAGCTATAAACACCTTGGCTGTTCCTGTAGTGCAATATATTTTCAGCATCCTTAACTGGACCATAGCTGACATTAAATGAATGGATGCCAAAATGAGAAAGCTTCTCCCTTTACATTGCATGCATCGTTCCAAGGCTGATGTTGAATGCCTCTCTATGTTCAGATCCAAAGGAGGAAGAGGCTTAGTTCAACTAGAATTGTCTTACAAAACTACAACAATTGACCTTCAAAGAAAGACACCTCAAAACTATAAAAGACTGGATGATGACCTGTGTCAAAGAACAGGAAAGAAATAAACTGTATTCAGTCATAAAGTAAGCCAACAAATTCAAAATGGAATTTCAAGTGGGTGAAGAAGTTCAAGTAGATTATAATGCACCTACTGCAGTAGCAAAGAGCCTAAAAAGCAAATGCAATGGACCAAATGATGGCAACATAAGCCTCTTCATGGTCAATACTCTGCCCATACCAAACAAGCAGATGTAGACAAATGTCATACCCATCAGTGGTTACATGGTGCAGGGTTAAAAGCTGTTGGATTACTGCCTCCTGATGATAAAATCTAACTGCAGCGAGATTATTGAATTTACCTGCAACAAACCTGAAACCAAAGATTTTATTCTTGCTGCACAGGATCAATGCTTGCTAACTAGAAATTACCAAGAACACATAATGAAAAATTGTGTTAACCTGAAATGCAGATTCTGTAATAAATATCCAGAAACAACTGACCATCTTGTGTCAGATTGCATAGTATTAGCATCCACTGAATATAAACCTCGGCATGACAAAGTGGCTCAATATCTGCACTGGAAAATCTGCAACTTTTATGGAAAGGAAACTGTAAGAAACTGGTATGAACATCACCTGGTTACAGACATAGGATCTGTAACAATTTTTTCATAGAACAATCAAAAATCATGATCAAAGACCACAAAAACAGAATGTGCTTACTTATTGACATGGTAGTTCCTACAGATTGTAATGTATCTTTGAAAATCTTCAAAAAAACTATCAAGATCTTGAAGTGGAAATCTCAAAAATGTGGCAAATAAAGACATCAATAATTGAAGTTGTAGTTGGAGCCCTCAGTTTGATTGGAAAAGGTTCTGATAGACTCATTAAAGTAAGTAATTGTTTTATCTTTTTAGTTGGATTCATTCATTTAGGGCTTTCTCACTCATGACATGGGAACACGTCAATTGGGTTTAACAATTTATTACCAAGTCAGGAATACAACCACAATCAAATAAGGGCACACAACTCGTGATACCCAAATATAACAAAGATCAGTAATGACCCACCATTACTGCTTATAACACATCTCCCTTCCTGGCTTTATTAGTTTGTTTCTTTTTTTCTTCATAATTTAATTCTATTATTATTTATTTATTTTTCTTTTTTAAGTCTTTTTAATGTTCCTGATTGAAAAAGGGTACTTACGCATAAAACTTATAAATAGTTTTTAGTCTTTTTTTTAATATATGTAATCACTTAGGTGTTTTTGTCTATGGACGACACAACCTCTCCTGGTCTGAGATATTCTTAGACTATTTGTATAGTTTGTATTGGAATCTTTTCTGTTAGGATTCTCATTTCTGTTTCCTTCATGGCTATTATGAAATTGAAATTCCATTGGTGGGAGTGTCCTTTCCATTTGGAATCCTGGTTCCTTACTAACATTTTGAATATGTTGCCTGTTACGATGGACGATTCCAGAACTTGTTTGGATGCTGTAGCTCCTATTCAGCTGTTGTCATGATCCCTATAGTATTCCAATATTTTTCATGATCAGTTTTTACTTTTACCAGATTGCCTATTTTGAGTCCCTTGAGTATTTTAGCATCATATTTCCTGTCATAGTTCTTTTTTATCTGACTTTTCAATGAATTATCTGGTCCAAGTCAGGCCATTTTGGATTTAGTCTGTTTGGATGGCTTGGTAGTACCATCCTTATTTTCCTACCCATGACTTGCTTTTGTAGCCGATATCAATGTGCTATGGTATGCCATTAGAACTAGGAAAGTATCTGGTTGTTGTAGGAGTCTTTTTTGTGATTTTAACTCCACTTTCTGCAGCTCCATTCACTTGAAGAAAGTGGGGACTCATGGTGTAAATCCATATTTGGGTGCAAAGTCAATGACTTGTGTTTGTGAACTGAGTCCCATTGTCACTGATCACTTCATTTCAGATCTCCCATCTGGCAAACATATTTTTCAATTTACCTATTACATTGGCACTGGTAAGTGGATCGAGAGAGGCTATTTCTATGTAGAGTAAAAAATAGTTGATTGGTACTAATCGATTGCTACAAATTTCATCCATTCAGTGTGAAGATATCCATCTCTATCTTCTGCCAAGACCTCTCCAGTAATGGCGTTGGTTTTACTTTAGGTAGAAGTGGAAACAGCATACATCTTGCTGTCATGAAACGCAGTATGGCTTCGCATCTTCTATTAGATAAATTTTCACTGGTTCACCTTTCATGCAGCCTCCTTGCTCGAATATGTTTTGGACTTGGTCAACTTTAATAACCATTCCCATCAAATGGGCAACCTCTCCGGACAGTAAGTTTTCTATGTCCCAACCATTTAGTGCATATATCTTGAATATGTAATTTTTCTCTTTATGTGTCATGGATGTCCAGAGTTTTCCTTCACATGATAATGAGCCACCTTGGATTCTAAATATTCTTTCTGTCAGTCTTAAAGGCAGTTTATTCTGAAGATTTTTGTATGTTTTGTGGTTTATTACCGTAATGTCTGATCCTGTGTCTATTTTAAATTTCAGGTGACTATCACAAATTTTCAAATTAGTGAACCATAGGTTGAGCATTTTATTTTTCTCTGTGAGTGAACCTAAAAAATATTCTTCCCTGTTGTTGTATTTTATTTGATGGATGTTGCTTATTTTCAACTTTCAACATGTAGCCAGTTGCATCTGCTGTATTTATTCCTAGATATTTTTCTTTTGGTTCCATTCTGAGAGTTTTTTTTTTTTAAATACCCTGCCCCCTTTTGATTGGACCTTGTTGATATTTTTGTCTACCTTTCCTCCTGTTGTTCTCTGATTTGTTTGTAACTTCTTGCCATTTCTAAGGCCTTGTTGAGTTTTAAATCTTGGGTAAACTGAAAGCGTTCTGATAATCCTTTGTCCTGAAGTCCGATGAATCTGTCCTGTATTTCTTCATTCTTGTTAGTGAAGTTAGAACCATCTGCAAGTTCACATAATGTTCTTGCAAATGTTGCAACACATTCTCTGGGGCATTGTGTTCTCAAGTGAAACATGGCCTTTTCGTGCATTCTCTTCTTCTTAGCCATGAAATGAGCTTCAAATTATATGATTACAGTTTCAAAGTAATTTTTGGCTTCCTTCTTAGAAAATGTAACTGTTTTTAACACATTTTCTGCCTCTTTGCCCATACAATATATTAGAGTACTTATTTGAATTGGCCTAGTTTCCAAATACAATTTAGATGCAATTTGAAATCTTTCAAATCTTTGATTCCAAGTTGGCCACATGAAGGGATTAAAAATGTTGAATGAATCTGGTGTTTTTTTTAAGAACCTCAGCTTACTCTAGCCACTTCTGACACCATGTTTTATCTTTTTAGTTTGGTTCATTCATTTAGGGCTTTCTCACAACATGGGAATCACCTCTGTTAGGTTTAATAATTTATTACCAAGTTAGGAATACAACAACAATCAAACAAGGGCACACAACTTGTGATACTTGGATGTAATAATGACCAGTGGTGGGGTTTGCACAGTTTTATGCAAGCCTGTTCTTGGAATTTTATGAGCTCAGTGAATCTGTTGCTAGCAGCAACCCAAACAAACAAACTGCTAATTTTAGATTGTCTACAAATTATAGTCACATAATCAGTTGGTGAAGTAAATTCTGGTGATTGAATAAAGGTTAATACAAATTTCATGAACTGCTGAACTTCCTAGACCCAGATACTTGGACTATTCAAGAAATAGTTATTCCCTAGAAAGCTGTTGAAGAAAAGCTGAATAGCTTCAGTAAAATTTTTCATCACAACATTCCCATTAATGATTTTTGTGACTATGTGG